GGGGGGGGGGGTAAAAAGAAAAGTTTAACACTTAAAAGAAAGCAAAGTGTATCTCTTATACTCAAAATATACCCTATACATTTCTGTCTGATAAACTCTTGCTTTAAGGGATAGAGATCACTTCAAAACAAGTATACATAATTTGTCATGGAAGAAATAAATTACATAAAATGGGGAGCTCTAACATTATAGCTAAATTACTGTTTTGTACTTTGTATATAGGATTAACGTGTCATCAGTTTATCTAGCACCAAGGCTATCAGCCTAAGCTAAATGAACAATGAAGAAATTTAATCAAACTATTAATTTTTAAAAATCAGTTAATATATATGTAACAAGCCTTAACTGATCAGCTGAAGAAAAAGCCAAAAACCTGGACTAATCAGCATATAGCATAGACTGATAGTTAAATGTCATTATGGATGAAGGTATATTCATGGTCAAGAGGATGGCACTACTTTCAAGTTCAGATTTTACTCACCATGAACTTCTGTACACTAAGAGGGAAAGTAGCAGAATATAATAAAATCTGTCTGTTTTTAGGTAGCGTGAGAATAATATCCTCCATTATCTGCACAAAATCCTGTGACAGCAACTTATCTGCCTGCAGTACACAGAGAAGACAATTTTAAGAACAATGAAATGCCTGATGTCTTTGGTCAGGAGGCATCATCCAACAAGAGCATGCGCGGCCTGCTCCTGGCGGAAAGCTGTAAGTCTCTATAGCATTGCATAGTCCGATGGCACGGAGACAAATTCCCAGTAATTTAGAGGGGAAGTCTATAATACCTATCTTCTAGAGAAAAAAAAAATCCTACACAGATATAATCCTTGCTCCCATAGCAGAATTCTAATCTGATTCCCATTAGAGAGGGAGTATAGTATAGTGGTTAAAAGTATAGCCTCTAAAGTCAAACTACCTGAGTTAAAATCTTGTTTCCCTTACTTATTAACTATGTTAGGTTACTTAACTACTGAATATTTGTTTTTACAATTTTAAAATCAGGATGTCTACTTACTATAGTAACTATATAGGACACCTACCTTATAGTGTTGTAAAAGAAAAACAAAACCCCAAGACATGTTTAAAGCACTTAATGCTAGCAGAGTGACGAATAAATGTTTTCTCTCGTTACTCAAAAACCTGATCTGAATTAGGCCTTGATCAACCTGATCTAGTTATCTAAAACACAGACCAACTGCAGATTAACTTTATTTCAGGACATTAGCACTGATGCGCATATGCTTAAAACACGTCTAGATCCCAAGGATACAGAGTTGAATAAATTCTTAAAAGGCACTTACAATCTGATGAGGTAACACATGTAAAAAAGACAAAAACCAAACTATACAAAGCAGCACATACTAAATAAGGGGTTAGAGACAAAAACGTACTTTTTAAAAAGTATCACTGAAAGAAAGGAGACTTAGAATGAACCTGGCTTTGAAGGTTACTCAATAACTCCTCCTCTTGAAAATACAAATAAAACCTAAACTATCTGGCATCCCTAAGAAAAAGACACAAGGCTCAACTACTTCTATAAATGCCTACAAAGGACAAACCACATTTTACAAGCAAATAGTTTGACTAGAGTCATGCATTTATTGGAGGTTTATAAACACAGAGCTTTTGTTTTATTTACTGACAGTTATTAACAAAGCACAGAATAGTGTCTATACAAATGAAGAGACAGTACCTCATCCAATACTATCATCTGGACATGATCAACTTTTGCTACTCCTTTCTTGATAAGATCCAGGATTCTCCCAGGGGTAGCTATTACCACGTGCACTACACAAGATTAGAAAACATTTATTCTCATTAATTTTAGCTTGAGCAATATAGTTTATATTTCATAGTTTATCATGCATATATACTTTAAAAAAAAATCAGAAACACTGTTGTAGAGGTAAGAACAAAGAGGCAGAGAGGTGTTTTAGGATATGGATTTCTACTTCATCTTAGACTGGCTAGAGAATACTTGTTTGTTTCACCTCTACATTCCCACTGAGTAATAAAAGGATCAAATAATATATAATCACTTTAAATAACTGCAATGCGAAAAATAGTCTAAGTAAACAAATGTCAATCATATATAAAATTCTGACTAGAATTGTATCTATTATTTTATGTAAGTGGATCTCATTTTTACTGTTTATTATCTTTTTTAACTCAATAATGTATCCATGGTACACTTAATGAAAATGAATCCTCAAGCCTTTGATGACTGTGTAGAATTCTGTTCAGATAGTACCTCAATGTACTTAGCCAATCTCCTGACATTTCGGTTGTTCTAATCTTCAGCCTTGCATTTGCCCAATTACATTTCATCAAGATTCTTAAAAACATATACATTTATAATTTCAAAATATAATGCCAAACGGACCACCATGTATCAATTTATACCCCCACACTGAAAGACAGGCCTATTTCTCCACAAATGTGCAAAAACGGTTATTAATATTTTTTAACTTTGCCAATTAGATAGGCACAATATCAATTGGCTGTTTTAATTACATTTTTAAAAATTATTATCAAGGCTAAATATGCTTTCAATTACTATCGTCTTTTTTTTTTTTTTGAACAAGACACTCCACTCATTTTCTTTGAAGGTTACTCAACGACTTCATTTTTCACTTCATTTATTCACTTTTCTACTGCAATGTTTCTATTACTTATTCTAAAAGCAACTTTTAAGTTACTGAAAGGATGAACCTGTGGGTGAAACTGCACTCAGAGAGTTTAAGCCACTGGACAGCAATCATTTCCTACCTGTGTCATCAAGCCTCATAATATCATCCCGTAAATTGGTTCCTCCTGTGGTTGCCATCACTTTGGCCCCTCCCATGTGTTTGCTGACCTGGATACAAATTTGACTGACCTGTAGAGCAAGTTCTCTAGTGGGAACAATCACCATTGCTGGAAAATATCAAACAACAGAAAAAAAGTACATTTTAAGGGTTTAAGGAGCTACAGAAAACACTGCCCCTTGCAATCTAGATACTCAGACATATTAAAAAGTTGAAGCATAATAGGCCTAACCAGTTTTGAAAAGCAACGTGAGTGAAATCAGGAAAAAAACAAAACAAAAAACAGAACCTATTATAGCATTCTAGATTTAGACTTTTCCTCAGTAATATTGCTATATAAATCTTTTACTCTTTTTAGTTACAAACTCTTAAAGGGTTCTATAAACTGGCAACCATTAGCTCAAAGTTTATTAATTTAATATTTCAGTTAGAGACTCACTAAATACCAAAATAGGAAACTCCTGCTGTCTGGATTCTGCTTATATCATATAAAAAAGTAAGGGAAGATGGGAGAAATAGCAATTATAGATCAAGAAAGCTGAACATTTAAGAAAAAGCTTTAGAGGTGAAAACTTAATTAGCTTACTCTAGGTAGAGGTATGGAAATTTGTTTCTTCCCTACTGCCGAAGGTCTTAAAATTCCCAAACCACAAGTCTTTAAAAGAGGTCATGTTTCTACAAGGGGCTCTGCAGATACTCAGCTGCCACAAAAAACAGTTCAGTTCCACTAGCAACATCAGATAAACTTCTCAAAATCTTAGCTTTCCCAACTATAGGGCAATTATACTTACTTGCCCATTTCACTGGAATGTTGTCAAAACTGCAATATGTAAAAGTACTTTGAAAACTAGAAATTTCTTTAAAAAACCTGGGAATCATTTTTATGAAACAACCAGGCCAAAAGTTGTGAAAAGAAAGGGTAAATACTAATTCCAGATTATGTAAATTCTGACTCAAAAGATGGTAATACTCCTACATAGCTGCAAGATTTAATCCACCATTTTCAGTTTAGACAACTAACCTTGTATATTGTCCTTCTTCAGGTCTAGCCGTTCAAGTAAGGGAATGAGGTAGGCACCGCTCTTGCCTGTTCCATTTTTTGCTCTAGCTAAAATATCCCTACCAGACAAAGCAATGGGAATGCTTTCCTCCTAAATAAAACAGACAAGACAATGCAAATTACTTGTGAATAAAAGCAGTACATAAGCAAATTCTTCTTCGGTATGGTTTAAAGTGTCCTACATTTGCATTATAGAAGAATTAAGTAGAGACCAAGTAAATTAGCAGGATTATTCAATATCACCATTATTACCAACAAATATTTACTGGAAATACTTACAGAATACATATTAAATTATATCTTAATGTAATAAAAATTGTTCACGTGAGTGTATATGTGTGTATGTCTAAGGAAGCTGAACACTGACAACAAAACAACAAAGAGGAAGAATTTAGACTGACATATAAATAAGACTTAAATATACAGAGAAAAAAGCAAAAGACACTTCACAATTAAAAACCGGAGAAAAATGGTACAAACAATACAAGGAAGACTGTGATATTTTGAGACTAGTATGCCAGTTCGATCCCAGTGAAAAATCGTAGCTTGGACAACTTATCCTTGCACAGAACAGGAAATAAACTACAGAAGTTTAACCTCAGGTCCTACTTCATGTATTATATTATATCAATCTCCAATGTCTGTGCCTCACAGCCAAATTCTGTCCTAAAATATTCTCAGGTGGAGGCTCAATTCTATTCCAGTTATCTTAATCCATGGTCAGACTGCCAAAGGTTTCACATTTCACTTTCACATCTGGCTTAGTCTGTCAAGTGTTTTGCAGAAGATAAAATATTTCCTAGTTATGACAAATTTCCTAGACAACAGCAATGGATTCCCAACAATTACCGAAAATTATACATATACAAAAACAAAATAAAAAGGCAGAACAGGTATAAACAGGGTAGAAGTAGAATATTTTTACTTCTTAGACTAAAACTTTAATTTCTAAAACTAAAAAATTAGGATAATAAATCAGGAAAGGGATTTATAATCACTGTAATAATTAGTTCTTTCTGTGCCTTAGCTAATGACTGAGAAATCTCTCCAGCATTTTAAAACTTACTGTAGAAACACCTTAAGTTATAAGCATTAAGACCTTCACATCCCAACATGACACTCATGCTACCTAGAACCCCAATTACAGAAGTCAGATGGGTTCCATATGGTCAGAATAAATAGCTCTCAGAACTGTGATAATGATGTTATCCTGTTCCTATAACCAGCATTAAACAGTCTGCTTACTACGGTAAAGCCACTCAAAAATAATTAGGCCCCTTTGGTCTTAAACTCTTCCCTCCTACTTCAAGTCAACTCTAGAGGCCCATTACCCTGGGGTTCATTCTCTTCTATGTAAATTTTTAAATAGGCTTCCTGCACACCGTTCAATAGCAGGAAAAAAAGCTAGGTTGTCTCCAAAGGTCTCCCACTGACTTCCCGAGTCAGGTCTTTCAAAGTATAGAATTTATAAATGAAGCAAGGCAGGGTAGAATTAGACTGGGATTATCCTAATTCTCATTTTGGGTTCACCTTTTGACTTGGGTTAAGGCTAGCAACTTCTATTCTCCTGTTCTTTTTGATAGCTTATGCTCTACAGAAACTGTTTAAGGATAAGGCTTTTACAAAGTAACCAAGCTAATCTGCAAATTAATATACACTGATATTGTGCCCCAAATGGTGGCCATGATGATTAGCAGCCAAGGAACTCAGCACATCCAAATATGTCTTACCACTGTTTTCTGGCAGATTAAGTAAAATGAAGCAAGAGAATTCAAGTCAAGTTCAGACAACTTTGAAACCCAAGTGGAAATCGTGGGGAGCTGCATGATGAACAGAGGAAGGAAGCAGAAAAAATCTAAAGACTTAACCACGTGTTGACCACCACACTAGATACTTAGATACTTTATATTATTTACATCCTTTCATGTTAGGTATTAGGTATTTTTGTTTTACAACTGACAAAATGGATTCAGAGAGATTAACTGTTTTGCCCAAGGTTACAAGGCCAGAAATGAAAAGAATCCCAATTTGAACTTAGGTCTGCAAATAACAACATGCAGGCAAGAATGTGGAAAAACTGGAACCCTCATACACTACCACTAATAACGTATGGCTACTTTGGAAGTGTCCGGCAGTTCCCACAAAGGTTTAACAGTTACCATACGAAACAGCAATTCCACTCCTAGATAAATGCCCATACAATAGATTATTATTCAGCAATTAAAAGGAACCAAGTAGTGATACATGCTACAAAATGGATGACCCAGAAAAACATGCTAAGTCAAAGAAGCCAATCACAAAAGACCACGTATTGGATGACTACATTTATATGCAATATCCAGCAGAAGCAAATCCACAGGGCAGAAAACAGATGAGTGGTTGCTTAGGGCTAGGGGAAAATGAGGGATGACTGCTAAAAAGATTTTCCTTTTGGGGTGATGAAAATGTTTCTAAAAATTGATCGAAGTAATGGTTTAACAACTGTGAATACACTAAAAACCACAGAATTGTATACTTTAAATGTGTGAACCATGTGATACATGATTTGTATCTTAATAAAGCTACCAAAAAACCCCCACAACCTTAGGTCTGATTCTGCCACCTTTGCTCTCCAAGTCCACGTTCCACTGTAAGGTCTTGGGACTGACCCAATACATAATTGTTGTGTTTTGGTTACTCTAGTATCCATTTCCCTTTCTTAGTAGTACCCTAACATCCTTCTGAGGAATTATTCTCCACCTACCCAACAGATAGTCTAGTCAATCTCCTCAGGCAAATGGTAGACACTGACTGTAGCCAGGCCAGCTGAATGCTTCCTCTTAAGAGTTTAAACTGTTATAGTGCATCCTATGACAATTTATAGCTTTCTAAGCGCTTCAGAGCTCCTCAGTTCTTGGCCAATTCTGTGTTTCTCCAGACTTCTCAATTTTATTAACTTCTGATGCTCTTTCAATAAATTTCCTTTGGCTTAAGTTAGCCCAAGTAGATTTCTGTTGTCTATAACAAACAAGTGGTATTCTGCTGCCTACAACCAATAAACTTTCCAATTCCTAGTACTGAGAGGCATTTTCCAAGTGTGGTACCTAAAAAGCTCTAAACTGCCCAACTAGCTACTTTTAGAGTAGTTGCTTGTTTTTACTTCCTAGGTCCGGCTGAGCTTAAGAACCTTAATTTCAGGGGAAAAAACATGGATATGGTGGAGAAGGTAGTGATGGTTGTCAGAGGTATCAACTGCTACCCAGAAAAAAGGAGATGGAAGATAGTAATTTAAAAAATTATCTCTCTTAACTCAAGGAAACCCCCAATTTTACCATAGTAACCAATGGGGAAACGCATTTTAAGACTTTTTTTTTGAGAATTTAGGAAAACAGTTCTTTTAGCCATTAATAAATCCATGTCAGCAGAAGAAATGACATACAAAAGGATTAAGAGAGCTATAATCCCTAACCATAAATAACAAGCTATGAATTCTCATTATACCTGGTTGACAAAGTAATTCCTCAAAATAATTAAAAATTTGACCTGATACAAAATTTTGTTGCCAACAGTAAGGAACTTTCATGTTTCCCTCAATAATGGAATACCTGCCATCTCATCACCTTCTTATCTAAAAAGTCTTCAAAAGCTTTACCTAGAATCTAGAAGCAGATAAGAACTGCCATCTCTCAATTATCTCAAAGTTAATATAAGGTTTGATAATGTTAAGTAGACTAAAACAGAGGTACTAATTAGGCCATCCAAAGAAGTCTGTGCTCCTATAAGCTTATGCCTTTAGAATGGCACAGTAATGCGACTGGGCACAACATTCAAACCCAGAACTAGAGTCACAGATGGCTGCACCAAAGAAAGGTGTGGGAACAACCTATCTGTCTGGTTCAGGCCTGTTGGTGTAAAATCCTCTTTTGAGAGGGTGTAATTTAAAATGCCTCATTTTCCAATAATCTGATAGCCAACTGCAACTAAGTCCCATCTCTTAAAGATTCAAATGCAGATGACATCCATCATATCAAGCCTTTTATATTTGGAAAATAAAATATGCCTGGATAAAATTGTAAAACTAAGTGCTATAGATGACAATAGACACATTTTAGAAAAAGAAAACAACACGAAACCATATAAGGTGAAAAGGTAGATAAGAACAGAATGAACAGAAGGCAGCCAGCCAGTCTACAAGGTGAGATTTCACTAGAGAATTTGTTTTTTGTTGTTGTTGTTCTAAAACCCTGTATTTGTGGTTTGTTATACTGAATGGATTCTAAGAAACAGATTATCTTGCGTTTTCCACAGATTCAGACAAAATAGTGAAGAAAAGGCAACATGATTGGTGGCCTTAGGAACCTAAAATCATACTTTATTAGTCACATACAGTGCTTTGCTCTTTCAAAATATTTTGTTTTATACATTGCAATTGATTCTTACAATAAAAGCCTTGTGAGAGAGATTACTTATTTCTACTTTACAGAAAAAGCTGGATGTCAGACTGGCTAAGTGGCTGAAAAGTTAACAGCTTACCTGCTATACTAACACTGAGAGCACTAATAACAGTCTTTAAGTTTTAATACAAAAGCAGGCAACAGTAAAGATCCATTAAAGATGAAGTCCTTAAAGATGAAGTTGGCTAACTTAATCTACCTCTTTTGATAGAACTTCTATATGAAATGATAACCCATAACATTCACTGAGCACTTATGCACTAGGCACTATTCTAAGCGTACTAACATGAATCACCTCATTTAATCTTCACAACCACTTTATGATATATATCTTTTTCACAGGTCAGGAAACCAAGGATTAGAGCGAGATCTCAGACAATCAACTTAGAAAACAGTGGAGTTGGGATTTAAACTGGGCATTCTGACTACAAAGCTAGTGTTCCTGAACAGTTCTCTAGACCAACTCACCTACAAACATGTTAACCATAACTTATCAAAACTTTCACAATACAACTGAACATGTGAGAGCCTATTTCCTGCCATGTACTGGCTAATAATATGTACAGTTGGCCTTTGAAACACCACATGTTTCAACTGTGCTGGTCCACTTATAAGTGGCTTTTTTCCCAGTAAATACATACACTGGAAAATTTTTGGAGATTTGCCAACAATGTAAGAAAGCTTATTTTCTCTAGCTTTATTTTATTGTAAGAATATAGTATATGATATATGTAACATACAAAGTGAAATAATCAACTGTTCATGTTATCAGTAAGGCTTCTGGTCAACACCATGCTATTAGTAATTAAATCTGCGGGGAATCTAAAGTTAATACAGATTTTTGACAACACAGAAGGTCAGTGCCCCTAACCCTCTATGTTGTTCAAGTGTCAGCTGTAACTGGAGATAAAGTTGAATGGCACATTCTCTACAGTAGAACTCTCAAAACTTTTCATTTCAAATGATACAACAGATCAATATGAACTACATTATGGAAAAGATTGCTAAATGTTTAGTATCTATATTCAAATTGCTTATCTGATGATGTTCAACATTATCTTGATATTTTCTCCAGCCATAATATATTTCTTTCAGTTTGTCCTCAAAGGTACATTCTCACCCCTAGGCAATCACTATCCCAGTGCCCTCTGCTTAGAATATGGATCACTTCTTCCAGGTTGTTCCAGCCCCCTCTAATGGCCATGTTTATGTGCAATTTCAACTCGAAATGGGCCCATTATATAACACCGAAATCACCTGTACCATCAGCTGTCCTTTCCAGTAGACTGTCAGTCTAGGAACCCTATTTGTCTTGTTCATCACAACAACCGAGGTGTCTAACACTTTCTAGGTCACTCAACACATTTGCTCAATGAAAAAGTGCTCAATTATTCCAGCGTTTGTCCTTAGTACAGCTGGGATTCAACAGTATCAACTTACATGAAGACAACAAACACACTTATCAAATTTGTGTATGTATAATGCATGCTTATATCTACATGTATGTGTACACATATATGTGTATACATACATCTACTGCCTTGCTGTTTCCACTGAAAAGGCCAAGGAGCAAGGAACACACCCAGTGCTCAGATTTTGGTCTCCAATACTACCCGCAACTATTTCGATTCACGGCTCCTTGAAGAAATGGCTGATTCTAAGGCTGGAGCAGGGTGGGTTACAGATAAGCTCGGCATCATGATATTCCAAACAGGAAGCGCTCAATAAAAATGAAGTGGGGAGGTAGGGGTGAAGAGGGGTTGCACAGAAGATTTTGAGGGTAATGAACTACTCTGTATGGAACTATAATGGTGAATATATGCCATTTTTCATTTGTTAAAACCCACGGAATATACACCAAGAATGAACCCTAATGTGAAGTATGGACTTTGGGTGATAATGTGTCAATGGAGGTTCATCAGTTGTAACAAATGTATCACTCTTTTGGGGAATGCTGATAATGGGGGAGGCTATGCATGAGTGGGGGCAGCGATTTATGGGAAATCTCTGTATCTTCCACTTAACATCTGTGAACCTAAAACTGCTCTAAAAAGACTTACCAGAAACTTACTTAGAAAACAGTGGACTTGGGATTCAATTGTGTGGAGTGGAGGCCCCCACACACATTACAAAAACACAAGAAACAGCTTCTGAAAGAGTCATACTGGCCAAATCTGGGAAAATATGAGCACAAAAATACCACTGGGGGAAAAAAAACTCTTGAATACATACTGATAATGTATAGAAACATAAGCAGGAAAGAAGGAGATTTGGCCCTCTTCTTTATAGGGCCAAATGCGGGAGGATTGCTAGGGTTGGAAACTCATAATCCATGAGA